GAGGAACGTGGGTTACCGATTCCGGTATAGGTAAGAGGGGGGTTCACTGCCTAGCAGAATGTCGATAATGTTTTATGCATTTTTCATTTCTCACCCTGTATACGTATCCAGGGGTTCCGTAGATAACGAGAGAAAAAAAAATCCGCTAGAATTTCAAGATGCAATTTCCTAAGGGAATTTTTGACCTGTGAATTATAGTCTGCACTTTGTGCCTGACCTTTTTTTTTCCAATTTAATCATTGCCTCTATAAATCGAGCCGGACAGGACCGAAACTTTTTGTCCGTCAATCGTTGCCTCATCACCGGTAATGGAAAGTCCCACTGGTCTTCTTCGTACGTACCAACGTAAGAGAAAAAAGTTACTATCCTCTGCCACGATATACGAATTAGACATCGGTAAGAAAACGACCACCGGTTATAACGGATGAATCTACGGGTCGACTTGGACCCTGGCACTTTTCTACGTCACTGGGAGTCCCGGGCTTATCGATTGATCGATTAATTTCGTTAGTGCCGTAGGGATCGGCAGAAATCGGGTCGGAAGACTCGCAAAGCGAAGTTACGACGGAGAGAAGCCACGCTGGGCTGACTAGGCGTCTTTCGTTCGAAGGAGGACAAAGAGAGAGAAGGAAGACGAGTGCAGGAGGGACGAAGAAAGAAAAAATTAAAAAATTCAAATTATCGTCTTACGTATTAAGGTATTACTACGGACCGAAAAATAACAAAAGTTTCAATGTAAGATTTTAACAATCCAGCGTCAACTTTTGAACTGGTACAGTCCACTCACAAACGCCCATCCCTGCATCGATAGGCGTACACTAATGTACATTGGATGTGTAGTGTATACGTATATACACCGAATACAGTCTCAAACGCAATGTTGCCGTGACGCTCTTTCGTCTAGCCGTCGTACGAGAGATTTCGTAATAAATATCGAACTTCTTTCATGTCTATCAATAAATCCTATGAGTAAAAAGTTCTGACTAAGAATCTAAAAAATTCCTAATTTTTTCCTTTGCCACGTGCTAGTTTTTCATCGGAATCACGCGGACGAGTCAAATGCAATAAAAAAAAACCATGCGCGTTTTATTGGCCAGGTATAGGGAGTACGTGTTACGGGTCCTGACATTAACTCGGAAATACTCGGAAACTGATGAGTGAATCGCGTTAAAAATTTGTAGATAGATGTACTGCTATACAAGTTAGACGTAAAACAAATTTCAGCTCGATTACGCGGTTTTGAGTTTACCGTAGTAATACCTTAAAACTTATTTACCGTATCCCGGGTTGTTTGTCAAATGAATCGTCATTTTTTGTTTTCTCACCCCTCCCACACAAATAATATTTGCCTTTCAAATCTGTATCCTTTGACTCGTCTGACGTCTCGAGAGGGGGATGAAACTACCCCCGTACGGTAGGGGATGAAAATTTGCCCCATGGAAAACAATGCTGCTGTACCCAAACACGTCGGCCGGGTGGGCCGCGGCGTTTGCTAATAATCCATCATAATTAAAGCTATCAAAAAGGATATTGATTTCCGGGAAGCATCGGGACTTCGCTGGGTTCCAGGTACCCAGGGGGATGAACGGGGTGGGTCGGGACGAGAGAAAAAAAAATTGTACCCCATTGTACAAGAGCTGCTATAGCGCACCGGCCAAAAAAGGGATTCGGTTTATGCTCCGGTTTTCCAGGGTTCGCTAAACCCGATACCCTTTCTAGCGTACAAGGTATGACTGTATATACCTCTCGATGGACCCCGACCCATTTTTTTCCACCCTCAAAACTGTTAGCAAAAATCATGTGTATCAGGGCTATGTATATGGATATAAATAATATAAATCGCTTTGAAAAATTGTAGCGTTCTATTAAAAAGTTAGAAAAAAAAAATTATTTCTCAAAAATTCTTAATTGATATATATATATATGCCGACAAAAAAATGGTGGCCGAAAAAAAATCATTAACAATTTTGCAATTTTTCGGGACGCTGATAAGGGATGAAAAATGTGCTCAGTGTGAAATCAAGACTCCCAGGGTACTGCTACCCCTTGGCCAATGAGTGCCTGGAACTACCCCTTTATTCTCTTTGGCTTAACCGGTCCGGAGAGGGTGGCGAGGAAGCGGGGCGGCCTTAGCTAGGGGATGCTTTTGTGCGGTCGCAGTGGCTTTTGAATTTTCGCCGAGGAGAAATTTATACGAAAACTTGACAATGCCCTGCTCGGTTGGACTCGGTTTGCTGGCCTTTCACCTTTCACCCTGGCAGGTGCTCGAAACCACCCTGATACCCCCTTCTTTCCCCGCTTCGCTCGCGATGCCCAAAAACTTTCACGAAAACGCTTTTTCGAGTGATGACGCTTTATTTCGCGGAACTTTAATCGCTGCCGGTCTGATTAGCCTCAGGTATTTTCTACTTCGTCGGGCCTCTGGGCTATGCTACTCTCTCTCCCCCCCCTCTCTCTCTCTCTCTCTCTCTCTCTCTCTCTCTCTCTCTCTCTCTCTCTCTCTCTCTACCCCTCTTAATCCGATACAAAAAGACAAGTCCAAGGATCGCTGAGCTGCAGCTGCGAAATGCTCTTTAGAATCGCCTTGAGGATATTTCGAAGTCGGGGACGGAGACACTCGACAGATCAAAGCAGCTTTGGCCTGACTAACGCGCTTTACACATCTACTTACTTCGTTCCATTAACCCGCTGGGAGATTCCCTTTTGATGCAGGAGTGACAGAGAGAGAGAGGGGGGTGGGAGTGAACTCAATAATAAAAGCAAGGACTCCTTATTTCCTATTAATCTACTAGCAAGGGGGGGG